CTGATACTTGGGCCTTTCATGCAGAGACCATGTACTATTAGCTCCTTTGTTGTATAGATAAGTGAAACCAAGTCACAGAGAATTTTAGTTTCTTTTTTTGAGACAGGGTTTCTCTGTGTGGTCCTGGCTGTCTGTAACTTACTCTGCAGAACAGGCTGATCTCAAACTCACAGAGATCTACCTACCTCTGTCTCCCGAGTGCTGGGATTCAATGCATGAGCCACCAACACCCAGCAGAATTTTAGTTTCTTACACAAGGTATCCAGATAGTGAAAAAGGTGAGTCCAAGTTCAAAGTGAGTTCAAGTATGTGCTCCCAGCCTCACTGGGAACACTGGTAATTTACATTATTTTAAGATATAACTTAACCGGTGGGGAAATAGGCTCAAGGGAGTCTGGCTGTCAATCCAGATAGACATCCTGAGTTTCATCCCTAAGACCACATGGTGAGGAGAGAGAACAGACACACATACCCCCTCATACACACCACAAACAAATAAATCTAGAAGCTGGGGGAAGCAGCAACAGTTATTTCTGAGCTTTGTGACTCTGGAGGCTGCCTGTCCTCTTGGCTCCAGTGCCTTTACAATGGGCTTTTTAAGAAATAATACCTTGGCTTGGAGTTACCCTGAAAATTAAATAAGTTAACATACATAATGTGCTTGGAACAGCAGCTGCCACTCAGGGAGCATGCAAATGTGAGCTGCTGTTGTTGCTTTTGGACCTTTTCTAAGGAAGGAGCCAGACATTTAGAGAAAGCTGGGAGTGCAAAACAAAGGGGCTGTTTGAGCTCGGGCTTCATAGTCGAGGTGATCTGAGTTAAGAGCCGGCCACCCTGTCAGGCTGTCACACACTTATGCTGATGGGCCTTGACACGTCAGGCTCTGTCAAATAATTGCTGGCTTGATGCAACTTCTGAGTCTGGAATAGCAAAGGGGTGGACAGAGAGGTACCCTATGTTTTTGCTTGTCATCTAGTGAAAAGGAAGTGATTTAGTGGACTGAACACTGTCATTTCTCTGTCCAGTGAGGGAAAAAAAGGATAATCTGAAGGTAGACTTGAAGAGCTAATGTATATGTACAGTGAATGTTTAAAATTCATTTATCTTTAGTGACAATCCATATGTTTGAGCATCTTCTGCAAACAAGTACAGGAGACATTTAGTTGTTTAGTCAAACATCATTTATATTTTTTTCTTGTTGCTTTTGTTGTTGTTTGTTTGTTTCTTGAGACAGAGTCTTACTGTGTATCCCAGCCTGACCTCAAGCTTGGAATAATTCTCCTGCCTCAGCTTCTGGAGTGTCAGGATCACAGGTTTGTACCACACCTGGCTTTGTTTATTCTTTGGTACGTCTCATCTTTATATCTGATCATGTCAGTGTCTTCCTTCCTTCTTTTTGAAACTGAGAACTTTTAAAAGAACACTAAGCTTAGAGTTACTTATTCCTGGTGATAGATATATGTATGATGAAAGGTACCTAGAAATGGTACCTTCTTTCTTTGCAGGTAATTCTATTCTTGCTGGGGGGGGTGGGTACAGAATAGACCCTAGTATGGCAATTCACACATCTCCCAGTACTCAGGAGGCTGAGGCTGGAGAATTGTCACAAGTTCAAGGCCAGCTTGAGCTACAGAATGAGTTCCAGGCCAATCTTGACTTCAGAGTGAGATATTATATCCACAGGGACAAAAACAAACAACAAAATCAGAGTAGTTGTATGATTTTGTCTGTGGTTCCCTTTGGCCTGACTGGGCAAAGATTGCAGTTCATAACAAACACTTTAGACCCAGAGCCTAATCTCCAGGTAGACGGCTGAGGTGAACTTCCTCACAGTTCCCTTTCTTGCAGAAGGTACTCATTAGATAAAATAAAATAAAACAAGCCTTGTTCATGTCCTCTCTTTGACTATGCCCAATACCACTGGCTACCTTTTTGGACTTTTATGTCACTTAGGGTCTTAGATACTTTTCCTTTTATCAAAAAGCCCTTCCCTCCAGCAACTCATGGTGCTCCTTGTTTTTCTCCTCTAGGCTGGAATGTCATTTTTTTCAGAGAGGGTCCCCCCCCCCCATGACTATTTTAGTGTTTTCAACTCACATTAACTGTTACTGTTGTTATGTCTATTAAACTAGATGTCACTTGTTCTGTGTCAGCATTCTGTGTTCCTTTACCAAACTTTGTAATTAATTACATTTTTCCTTGTTTTCTGTCTGTAAATGCATGAGGCCATAGCTATACTCCCTGGCTCGTCAGTTTTATAGATGGCAGATATATTTTAGATACATAGCCTATAGTTAATATACATTTGTCAAATGAACTAATGAATGAATGAATGATTGGCTAGTACACACCAGTGTGGAAGAAATGGGAGCAAGAGAAGAAGGTAGTTATCATTGACACCAACTGAAATTCTTCCATTTTGGGTATTTGTTTGAATTATGACTTTGAGGCTATTATCACAACTTTATACCTGATTTTTTTTCAAACCTGTTTTAAAATTTGACCATTCCAAGATTGGGGGAAAGAGTATCATATCCCTCTCTAGGTCTGGGATTTCAGGATATGGCCACTGTGCACAGTTTTATGCAGTGCTAGGGATCAGACCCAGGGCGTCTCGCTTGCTAGTTAGGCAAACCTTCTACCGCCAATTGAGCTGCTTCATCAGCTCAGCATTTTCCTATTGGAAAAAAGCGTTTGCATGCATGCATGCTATCAAGTCGAGTTGGACTGAGATAAAACATTATAAAATAAGAGTGGGCAAAGGCTACTTGGCGTCAGGTGTCAGTGGTCTCCAGGTTATCTGATTAGCAAGTGATCCACAAACAGATATTCAGAGGAAGCTCCGATAACCTTCCCCATGCTTAGTTTGTTCCTGTTGTTGTCAGGAGGGAGGGAGTGAATAGGTGAACTTCCTCTTTATAAGCACAAGAAGGCAGGCAGGGGCTGCAGGATAGAATAGCAGGGAGAAGCCTTGAAGGATCCAGAGTTGAGATTAGGGACTGTCCTGTCACTTACTGGGAACCTGTTTTCTCATGTAAAAATGTGCTTAGCTCAGGTGAAGTGATGCGACAAAGGACTTTGTAAGCAGTGGAATGCATAATAACACTCCTGTTTTACCCTGAGGGTAGGATCTTTTGTGAGCAGAAGCTGAAGTGTTCCCAAGGACAGTTAGGTGCTTTGCAGTTAGGGCTCCTCTCCTAACAGCAATTCACACACACACACACACACACACACACAAAGAATTAGTCCTCATTCTCTGACTTGTTACACCAAGTAAAGAGTTGTATTAGTAAATGCATATTTAGTTATACTTTTTAAAGTTTGAGACGGCATCTTATGTAGCTACCTGGACTGGCCTTGAACTGTCTTCAGATCCTAGATAAGATTTGCCCTTTGCCTCAGAGTAGCTCAGGTAATGAGCCTGCAGCAGGGGTGGGGGTGGGGGTGGGGGCGCAGCGCGGGCGCAGCGCAGCGGGGGGGCAGCTTGGTTAGATGGTTTTCCAGGAGTATTAAACTGTGGCCATCATTCAGTTGGACCCCCTTAGTGGTATGGTATAATTTAACAAGAATTAAGGACCAGAAACTTGATGATCAAGTCTGGATTGAAATTCTAACTTCAGGAGCTTCATGGAGAGATGATTTAGTGGTAAAGAGCAAGTTGCTGCTCTTACAGAGGACCTGGGTTCAATTCTCAGCACCCACATGATGATTCAGCTGTCTTTAACTTCCAGACACTCAACATGGCTCACATAGAATAAGTAAATATAATATTCACATTTTTTTTTCAAGACAGGGTTTCTCTGTAGCTTTGGAGGTTGTCCTGGAACTCACTTTGTAGACCAGGCTGTCCTTGAACTCACAGAGATCCACCTGCCTCTGCCTCCCGAGTGCTGGGATTAATATTCTAATGCCAATATTTGCCAGGTCAAAATTTGCCATGACTTTTTAGACAGTTACATTGTCTAAGGAACAGTTCTTCTTGCTTAGACACTGTCGGCCTGAAGCCTCTTGGAAAGTGAGCTGAGAATTTGACAATGGCAGGAGCCATAACTCACATAGGCAGGGGTGTGGGTTAGCTCACTTAGCTCATGGGTTTCAAGACCTAGTCCACATATGATACAGGAAGGGATTTAGGGCTAGCTTTAGTTTTTGCTTTTCCCTCAACTGTTCTGAAGAACTGAGTATTTTCAGAATTCTGTTATAAAAAAAAAACTACTCTTAACAGGCACAAGAGGTCAACAGGCCTTATGTCCCCATCAGCATTGTATGCATTCTGCAAACTAGAAGTAGAAACTGGCATTGAACTATGCAGTGTTTAGGGCACATGCCACAGGAAAGGGGAAGTGGGTTAACTTGGGGGCACATTCAGCTGTTTCTGGATGGTGATGATCAGTTTCGGATAACACTAGGGCAGAGAGATGGGGCAGTGGTGGGCACTAGGAACTTGGTAGAGTCCGGGCTATGCTGGTACATGCCTTTAATCCCAGCTGGAGGCAGAGGCAGGCGGATCTCTCTGAATTGGAAGCCAGCCTGGTCTACAGAGTGAGCTCCAGGACAACCTCCAAATCCACAGAGAAACCCAGAACAACAAAAAAGGAACTTGGTGAACAATACAGAATGATGAGCTGCTGGTCAGAACTGCGTGTTAGTAATTGACCGTGTTGCCTACGACTCCACAGGACTCAGACCAGGCGCCTCTCCTTCCCTAAGCTCAGAATACAGACTTGTTTCATGGTATTGTGAGTTAATAGCCAGTGTCAGTTAAAATCTTTGGAGGGTGGGGGGCACAGTACTGGTCATCAACGGGAATTTCTATGTCATTTTGTATTTGTTAGCTTTGTAATATAAAACATAAAACTCTGGTGTTGGTTTTTTTCCCTCTTCTTCTTATTTATTCCTATAAGATTATTTGTGGACTAAATGAAGTTACATGATATGAACTATATATGTACCAAAAATAAGTAGGGAGCTATTTATTCTTTCTGTTTGCTTTATTTCCTAGTCAGCCAGGAATGGTTATCAGTTATCACCTCTGACGGCACTTCCTGTTGATGATCTCATCATAGCAGTTGTTTGCTTTTTTTTTAAAAGCAGGGTCTTAGCATTTAGTCTAAGTTGGCCTTGAACTTAGCCTTGGCAGACCTTGAACTCAAAGCTTTCTCCTACAGAGTGTTGGCATTATAAACCTCACCACCACAGGTGTGTCTAAGCATTTGTGCTTCTATGTCACCTGTGTGTTCCCCAGGCATAGGGGTGATTAAGTCAAGGCAATGGGAATCTAGTGGGGGAAGGGCCAGAGCAGTAAATCATCTGATACAGCTGTGACCTGAGAGTGGGCCACATGCAAAGGAACCCAACTGCTGGGGTCTCAGAGAAGTTACCCTCAATGCCGTAATAAAGACGCACGCACGCACGCACGCACGCCAAGCTCTGCCTTCTCTGATTGTGGAATTCAAAATTGCTGTGGGATGATAGCTGAGTGAGTGTCAGAGCTGTGTCTCTGTCAGAGTGCTTTGGGGTGATTGATTGATTTAAAGGTAGGGATGATCTTTAAGAAGACAAGCTTGCTCTGTAGACCAGGCTAGCCTTGAACTCACAGAGATCTGCCAGCCTGTCTCTGTGTCCAAAGTGCTGGGATTAAAGGCATGGACTACCACTGCTCCACTCTGCTGAACCTTAAAAGACACATATTTGTGTAAACATAGATGGACTTTTTCTTTTCTACAATTGTGGGTTGAAATGACTCAAAGGGTGTTCTAAGGAGAAAGCTGCAGTGTGGAGGGATGTGGTGGTTTGAACGAAAATGGTCCCAATAGGCTCATAGGGGTGGTGCTATTTGAAAGGCTTAGGAGGTGTGGTCTTGTTGGAGGAAGTGTGTCACTAGGGGTGGGCTTTGAGGTTTCCAAAGCTCAACCCAGACCCAGTGCCTCTCTCCCTTCCTGCTGCCTGCCAATCAGATGTAGAACTCAAATTTACCTCTCCAGCAGCATGTCTGCTTGCCTGCCACCATGACAACAATGGACTGAACCTCTGAAAATGTAAGTAAGCCCCAATTAAATGCTTTCCTTACAAGAGTTGCTATGGTCATGGTGTCTTCACAGCCATGGAAATCCTAACTAAACAAGGTAGAAGGAAGAGTCTTGGACCGAGGGCTAATTTAGGAATAGAAGAGATTGGGCTTTTGAAAGTCAAGCTAAGGACTTTGGACTTATCTATTTGTGGTGGGTACTAACTAGTAAGTACTTGGGGATGACTACAGAGAACTTTTTAGAAGAATCATTGGATTTTTGTTTCTTTAATTTAGCCATAAACAAGCCTAGAGATATTACTATCTGACAGTCTTGAAATCATATTTTAAATCTCAGAATTTCAATGCGACTTTCACTTATGAGTGTCATTCTGCACTAATCTCTGCTTTTGGCTAAATTCTTGGTCTTCTTAGTTTGTTCTACCCTTTGCCTTTGTTCTTTGTTTATGAACACGAAGGGTTAATATTCTCTATTCTGAAACTTCTTGAGCTGCTAGTATAATAATCATGTGTCTCTAGTTTATGATACTTGTGTCAGAGCAGTAAGCTGCTCTATTATTTAGCTACAGGTCCTAACATGTGAGGGAGAAATACACACAGTGAGGTGGGAAGGATAGGGGCTCCTTTTCCCATTCTAGACAATTGCTTGTAGAAGCTTAATAAATTCTGTGGAATTAGATGCCTTATCCTGCAGCTTCCTGTGAGCCCTGAGCACGGTGGTCCCTGCAGTGTAGATAAGCTTTGCTGGCTGTCTTGAGACGATGGGCATCCATCTTTTTCCTTCCCCAGCCACAGAAATGGTCTCACATCAAAGCTTCAAGGAAGGAAAGGTAGTGGCTAGCAGAGGACGCTTGTTTAGGGTAGGAAAAACATGAAGCAGGAACGCTGAGGTTCTGAGTCTCAGTTCTCTGACTGTGTGGATACACACCACCTTCTTTAACCTCCTTATCTGATGCTTAGATGAGATGATCCAGGCTGCCCTTCTATGCGCATTGTCCCTTCATTCATAACTGCTTCCTAAATGTTGGTTCTCTGGACATGTCTACTTGGCCATTGGGAAGGATCTAGCCAGACTGTTGTGGAAGTATGTTCTCATCTTAGTAATGACTATACGGAGTGAACACTGGTGCAGGAGGTGTACTGTGTTTTAGCTTGTCATCATCTAATCCTGACCTGTGCCTTTCTGATAGCTCATGTTGTAGAGTTCAGGTGTCCGCCCCACACTCTGAATGGCTCAGATCAGAGGGAAGGCCCCAGGTTACTTACACAGATTAAATTCCATTATGATCATCTCAGGACCTGAAAGTGCTTTTGTCACTCTGAAATGACTCGCAGAGCCATTTAGCTGCTAGAAACCCAAGTGAACCCTGGCAGTGGTGGCACATGCCTTTAATTCCAGCACTCAGGAGGCAGAGGCAGGCAGATCTCTGTGAGTTCAAGACCAGCCTGGTCTACAAGAGCTAGTTCCAGGACAGCCTCCAAAGCCACAGAGAAACCCTGTCTCGAAAAACAAAAACAAACAACAACAACAAAAACCCAAGTGAGCAAGGCTTTTGGAGAATGTAAAACTCTTTTGAAAACTAGGCCTTGGCCGGGTGGTGGTGGTGGCATATGCCTTTAATCCCTGCACTCAGAAGGCAGAAGCAGACAGATCTCTGTGAGTTCAAGACCTGTCTGGTCTATATAATGAGTTCCAGGACAGAAAGAAAAAGAAGAGAGGGAGGGAGGAGGAAGGTGAGAAGGAGGGAGGGACGGAGGAAGGAAGGGAGGAAGGAAGGAAGGAAGGAAGACACAAGACTTAGAGAAAAGAAGTAACTTGTCTAGCTATAAAAGCTGGTCTTAGATTTCCTCCCTGCCCAGCATTTGTTGTAGGACCTGTTTACAGGGCTATTGGAGCAATCAGTGGAGGTGAGCTGTGGAAAGTGTTGGGTCTACAGCCTGATTCCAAACAATTTGCGGTGCTATTGTTTATTACTGTGAACGGTAGCATCTCTTTAGTTCATAGGTTGAACACATATCCCAGGTGCTCTGAAAGAAACCCACAAAGGCCAAGGAGGCTGAGATTAGAGAGGAAGTGCTTAAGACCTCTGAGAAAGAGGACCGGGGGCAAGAGCGAGTGAGCTGTGCGAGAATGTTCCAGGGCAAGGTGTGAGAAGGTGCTGAATTTAGGGAAGAGCCTGGCCTCCTAAACCACTCACGTACCCACTCTTGCTTAGTCAACAACAGCGCCTTGAAGATGAGTCCTTTTGCTCCCTTTAGACGGGTAGGCAGGATGAAGTAAGGGGTTTGATTTGGTTTACCTAGGTGTGTTTTGAAGGGATCTCTCACATTGCCTAGCTTGGTCTTGAACTCCCTGCATAGCCAAGGATGGCCTTAAACTCCTAATTGTCCCATCTCTACCTCCTAAATCTTAGGATTACAGGCATATGTTGCTGTGCCTGAATGTTCATGTGACACCTTAAAAAATAAAAATATGTGCACACCTTTATAAATTAAATCCGAATGATTTCAGAGATAAATAGTTGGTGTTTCTACCCTGAGACAACATGATTTCCCTGCTGCTAAACTCGTTTGCTAGTGTTTCTGCATGCCGTGGTGGCTAATGTCTTCTTTTTCCTTATTCATTGAAGAAATGGAGCTAGAGAGATGTCTTAGTGGCTAATAGCACTAGCTGTTGTTGCAGAGGACCTGATTTTTATTCCCTGGATCTGTGCAGGAGGCTCATGGCAGCCTGTATTTTCAGCTCCTGGGCATCTGGCACCCTCATCTGGTCTGAGGGCATCCACACTACTCTTTCTTTTTTAAATGACAATTTTGGTTTCTTAGTTGTTTTTCAACACATTAATTCTAGTACCTGGTCTCTATGTGTTTTTTTTTTTAATTAGTTAACTAAAATGGTTTAGTGCAGCACAGTGCAGGGCAGGGCCTTATGCATGCTAGCAAAGTCCTCTACTATTAAGCTGTGTCCCAGAGAGAGAGAGAGAGAGAGAGAGAGAGAGAGAGAGAGGGGAGGGGAGGGGAGGGGAGGGGAGGGGAGGGAGGGAGGGAGGGAGGGAGGGAGGGAGGGAGGGAGGGAGGGAGGGAGGGCGGGCCAGAGACACAGAGGAGAGAGAAAGCAGGAGCAAGCCGGCCTTTTGTATAACCGTATAACCCAGGGTGACCTTATACTGCCTGCCTTATCCTCCTGTCTCAGGATTTCTGGTGCTAGGATTACACGTGTGTACTGCCACACTAGGCTGACTAGGTCTATGTAGCTCTTTATCTTACAGAATCTGGCACTGACGTCAGCTCCTGTTAATGCAGGTGACAGTATATACATGAGTGACAGGAATAGGGCTTAGAGTTGTCCCTCATCAACTGCTTTTGTTTGTCTAGTCAGCCTCTTAATCTTCAAAGTACTGTTTCAGGAACCGGAGAATAGGTAATTATGGGCTCTTCACTCCATGGAAAAGCTTTTAGGAAAACAGTGACTTATCAGAATAAAAAGTCTTCTTTGGTTCTAGTTGACTTGAAAGTAGCGTGCTTTGCAATAACAGGACATTAGCAAACCCCAGAGTTCATCTTTGAGGAAGTAAAGGGGAATCCATGTACACCTCAACACACATTTATGTAATAATGCTGAAATTAACCGTATGTTATAAGGTACTGAAAACAGATTCTTTTTTTTTTTTTTTGGTTTTTCGAGACAGGGTTTCTCTGTGGCTTTGGAGGCTGTCCTGGAACTCACTCTGTAGACCAGGCTGGCCTGGAACTCACAGAGATCCGCCTGCCTCTGCCTCCCAAGTGCTGGGATTAAAGGCGTGCGCCACCAACGCCCGGCTGAAAATGGATTCTTATACCCGATCTTGATGCTTATTATATGTGACTAATGTGTGTGCAGATATTATGAGACAAAGTGTTTGCCCAGTAGCTTAGATTAAAATAACTCCTGTTCTAGCTCATTTTAAACAATGTAGTATGAATGGTGCCAAAAGAACTGGCTAGAACATTTTCTTCTCTCCAAGATCTCAGGTCCTGTAAACAAGGCTCTGGAGGTGCTT